TTGCCGCGTATCAAGGTGATGCGATCTGGGTAGCGGACTTTGAGTGCCAGCAACAGCAGAAATGTTTCCACACTGTAGTAGCCACGATCCACGAAATCGCCCATGAATAGATAGTTCTTTTCGGGCACATCGCCACCAACTTTAAACAATTCTTTTAAGTCATAGAACTGACCGTGGATATCCCCACAAACTGTAACGGGTGAGTCGACGCGCTGCACATTCCCTTCCTCCACGAGAATTTCACGCGCTTTCGCACAGAGCGCCTTTACTTCATTTTCTCTAATGATTTCACAGCGTTTCAACTGCTCGATCTGGCGATCCAAGTCGCTGTAGTCGGTCATGCTATGGGTTCCGGAGCCGGAATTGATGTTATCTGACGCTGATGCAGCTTCTGCGCTGTCAGAGCTGAAGCTATAACCGCAGTTGCTGCTGCTACTTCTGCTCACGGGGGAGGAGTGTTCGAAGTTGCGTGCAGTTTTGATGGTGATTTTGCTGGCGGTTCTATATAGTACATACAAAGAGTAGGAAACGGATAGGAATGGGGCAGACGCTCAATGTTGTGCAGCAGTCATGCGTTCGTTGGAGGAACGGCAGCACAGATGCTGGTCCTAATTTGGCAACTTCTACAAAGAAAAATCTTTTAGAGGTAGTTAAGTTATCAAGGCAAAGTGAAAGTAAAAATGAATTACACAACAAAAGAAACTGGAGAAATGCATTGGCTACCTGGCGTGCGTCTTTCACCCCCTCTATAGATATGTCAGTATTTTTTCTGGATCATATCATTTTCATTGCGCAGACGGCTATTAGCAAGTACATATATATGTACATTCTACTTGATTCAGTTGCGTGAGGTATAACGTTAGCGAAAGATGGTATTAGCAAAATTACATCTAAATTTTACAACTACTAGGCACATCGTACTTAACGCCGACCTCGAAAGCAACATAAGTCCGTGAGCCCATTTTGTGTGTTTTTCTCAAGTTGCACTTACCACTTACCTCTTTTATTATATTTTGCGGCTATTGTTTCACGTTTTTCACCAAATTTGCTTTACAGAATGTAAAGTTTCTCATCTGCTTGCTCCCTCCACTGAAAATGCAACCACCGCAGTTCAATTTTCCAAAAGTTTTAAGCAATTTTCTGTTTTTTAATACTCCTAGATGTTTTTTAATTGCAAATGTACCAAAATTACTTAAAGTTGCTGTCCACAAAGAAGAAAAATCACCGCGCTTGTTGGCTTCATTCGCTAACAAAGGTGTAGCCAGATTACAAGGAATGCTTGGTGCTTATACAGCGTTGATTTTGAGCTAATCCTAAGTTTTGTGGTAATAAATTAGTTCGCTGAAACTAGTAAAATATAGAAATTTGATGCACTTTATTATTTTACTATCAAACTCACCAATTATGGTCTCGTTACAGGAAATTGAAATTATTTTTAAAAGCAAACAAAGGGTATGGCAGCCCAGATTTTCGTTTTGCTTTGTTCGCTTTCATCTTTTTCGATGTCGAAATTTTTTTTCGAACTCCTTTAAATTCAATGCTACCACCTTATTCAAGGCGAATTA